TGTGCTTGTCTTTTCTTGTTTAAAAACTTAAATTAACCTTAACAGTAGACAAATTTTACAAGTTAAAGCTATTTTAAGGCTTTAGAATGTCAATTTTGTTGTGTATTAGCATACCAAAGCCTTGGTTAAAATTTAGCAAATACTGAATTAATTTATAACAGCCGGAACAAATTTAGACTTAATTCAAGCTAAATTGTGACTTTATACTTGCTAAAATAATAAATTTGATTTAGTCGCATGAAAAAATATAAAGCGTTCCCTTCTGAGGTTTCTACATAACGCGCATTGTTTCTTTTCCAAGGGGTAGCCAATAAAGTATCAATTTATGACTGAACCAAGTCTTTGTGTCAAAATGTCTATATTGGTTGCTAAGGACAATAAACAACAAAAGTAACATACATTGTCATACTAAAAGATGTTTCTCCCTCATAATTGTATCTATAATCTAAATATCAATAGATTTGTGGTATGATTTGTCTAAAAATAAGCAATTCTGTGATTTGTCAAATGCCATAAGGTAGCAATACACAGTTAGGAAAAAAACTTAAAATTGACACTCATAATTTTTAAACATCCTCTTTCCCTTCCTTTCTAACAAATAAGGCTTAATATTTGTGTTATGCATGTGTATATTTATAGAAAGAGAATCTTCCATAGATTTGATTTCTAATGGTTATAATGGTGAAATATAATCTCTTTTGGGTGTAACCATGGCAACAATCTGCATTTCTTTGATACAAAATATTGCATAAAAGGGGGGTGAACATGTCACAAAAGTCTCCAAAATTTGGTCCAAAGGAAAATTTCAATCAATTACAGTGATACCTTTCCTGAATCCATAGACATATATCTATCAAGAGGTCCAAAAAAAATCATATGCATTTCTGCTCGTTTTTCCATAAAATTGAATTGAAAAGATCGAGCGCAAAATCTTTGTTGATAAATACTACAATAATTTATGAACCTATGGGCGGTACGGATAGGAAAATACGGACTGTCAAACAGAAAAATTGCCTATAAAACATGCTAAAAATAATCTAAATGTACATATAAACCCACTAAGAAGGCTATATTATTCTTCAATTATCTAAAAATCTATTTTATTGTACAAAAACTTTCATATTTAAAAAATTCACCATGGCCATAATGCGAAACTAAACTTCTAACTGTGTATTGCTACCTTAAGGATAAACATTTTTTTTTCCAATTCCACTTTAAATGGATTTCTGTGTTCTGCTAGCTTAAACGAGCAAATTGGCCTGCTAGTTTTGAAAATTGGTTCAGAAATAAATATTTTATGAAGGTTAGCAGTTGACACTGAAATGCAACAAAAAAGTGATTTGGTGAAACATGCCATGTTGAAGTGTAAATTCTCCTTTTTTAATAAAATTTCTAAAACTATACCTTCTGTGCTTGTCTTTTCTTGTTTAAAAACTTAAATTAACCTTAACAGTAGACAAATTTTACAAGTTAAAGCTATTTTAAGGCTTTAGAATGTCAATTTTGTTGTGTATTAGCATACCAAAGCCTTGGTTAAAATTTAGCAAATACTGAATTAATTTATAACAGCCGGAACAAATTTAGACTTAATTCAAGCTAAATTGTGACTTTATACTTGCTAAAATAATAAATTTGATTTAGTCGCATGAAAAAATATAAAGCGTTCCCTTCTGAGGTTTCTACATAACGCGCATTGTTTCTTTTCCAAGGGGTAGCCAATAAAGTATCAATTTATGACTGAACCAAGTCTTTGTGTCAAAATGTCTATATTGGTTGCTAAGGACAATAAACAACAAAAGTAACATACATTGTCATACTAAAAGATGTTTCTCCCTCATAATTGTATCTATAATCTAAATATCAATAGATTTGTGGTATGATTTGTCTAAAAATAAGCAATTCTGTGATTTGTCAAATGCCATAAGGTAGCAATACACAGTTAGGAAAAAAACTTAAAATTGACACTCATAATTTTTAAACATCCTCTTTCCCTTCCTTTCTAACAAATAAGGCTTAATATTTGTGTTATGCATGTGTATATTTATAGAAAGAGAATCTTCCATAGATTTGATTTCTAATGGTTATAATGGTGAAATATAATCTCTTTTGGGTGTAACCATGGCAACAATCTGCATTTCTTTGATACAAAATATTGCATAAAAGGGGGGTGAACATGTCACAAAAGTCTCCAAAATTTGGTCCAAAGGAAAATTTCAATCAATTACAGTGATACCTTTCCTGAATCCATAGACATATATCTATCAAGAGGTCCAAAAAAAATCATATGCATTTCTGCTCGTTTTTCCATAAAATTGAATTGAAAAGATCGAGCGCAAAATCTTTGTTGATAAATACTACAATAATTTATGAACCTATGGGCGGTACGGATAGGAAAATACGGACTGTCAAACAGAAAAATTGCCTATAAAACATGCTAAAAATAATCTAAATGTACATATAAACCCACTAAGAAGGCTATATTATTCTTCAATTATCTAAAAATCTATTTTATTGTACAAAAACTTTCATATTTAAAAAATTCACCATGGCCATAATGCGAAACTAAACTTCTAACTGTGTATTGCTACCTTAAGGATAAACATTTTTTTTTCCAATTCCACTTTAAATGGATTTCTGTGTTCTGCTAGCTTAAACGAGCAAATTGGCCTGCTAGTTTTGAAAATTGGTTCAGAAATAAATATTTTATGAAGGTTAGCAGTTGACACTGAAATGCAACAAAAAAGTGATTTGGTGAAACATGCCATGTTGAAGTGTAAATTCTCCTTTTTTAATAAAATTTCTAAAACTATACCTTCTGTGCTTGTCTTTTCTTGTTTAAAAACTTAAATTAACCTTAACAGTAGACAAATTTTACAAGTTAAAGCTATTTTAAGGCTTTAGAATGTCAATTTTGTTGTGTATTAGCATACCAAAGCCTTGGTTAAAATTTAGCAAATACTGAATTAATTTATAACAGCCGGAACAAATTTAGACTTAATTCAAGCTAAATTGTGACTTTATACTTGCTAAAATAATAAATTTGATTTAGTCGCATGAAAAAATATAAAGCGTTCCCTTCTGAGGTTTCTACATAACGCGCATTGTTTCTTTTCCAAGGGGTAGCCAATAAAGTATCAATTTATGACTGAACCAAGTCTTTGTGTCAAAATGTCTATATTGGTTGCTAAGGACAATAAACAACAAAAGTAACATACATTGTCATACTAAAAGATGTTTCTCCCTCATAATTGTATCTATAATCTAAATATCAATAGATTTGTGGTATGATTTGTCTAAAAATAAGCAATTCTGTGATTTGTCAAATGCCATAAGGTAGCAATACACAGTTAGGAAAAAAACTTAAAATTGACACTCATAATTTTTAAACATCCTCTTTCCCTTCCTTTCTAACAAATAAGGCTTAATATTTGTGTTATGCATGTGTATATTTATAGAAAGAGAATCTTCCATAGATTTGATTTCTAATGGTTATAATGGTGAAATATAATCTCTTTTGGGTGTAACCATGGCAACAATCTGCATTTCTTTGATACAAAATATTGCATAAAAGGGGGGTGAACATGTCACAAAAGTCTCCAAAATTTGGTCCAAAGGAAAATTTCAATCAATTACAGTGATACCTTTCCTGAATCCATAGACATATATCTATCAAGAGGTCCAAAAAAAATCATATGCATTTCTGCTCGTTTTTCCATAAAATTGAATTGAAAAGATCGAGCGCAAAATCTTTGTTGATAAATACTACAATAATTTATGAACCTATGGGCGGTACGGATAGGAAAATACGGACTGTCAAACAGAAAAATTGCCTATAAAACATGCTAAAAATAATCTAAATGTACATATAAACCCACTAAGAAGGCTATATTATTCTTCAATTATCTAAAAATCTATTTTATTGTACAAAAACTTTCATATTTAAAAAATTCACCATGGCCATAATGCGAAACTAAACTTCTAACTGTGTATTGCTACCTAAGGGACAACTTTGAACCTCTGTGGTGGCCAGACGGGCCCGGATATAAAAAAAATATTTAAGTGGCGAATAGCCTCGGTCAACACCTTTGAAATGAGCTAGGTCTGGTTCGGAGACTTGCCGAGGAGTGAATGTGTAGTTGATATGAAAAGTACGTTAAGGGACAACTTTGAACCCCTGTGGTGGCTAGTCGGGCCCGGATCTCAGAAAAATATTTAAGCAGGGAATAGTCTGGGTCAATACCTTTGAAATGAGCTAGTAGGCCCGGTTCGGAACTTTGCCGCAGGGGTATGCCGATGAGTACCGAAAGTGTAGTTGGTATCGAAAATACGTTAAGGGGCAACTTTGAACCTCTGTGGTGGCCAGACGGGCCCGGATCCACAAAAAATATTAAAGTGGCGAATAGCCTCGGTCAACACCTTTGAAATGGGCTAGGTCTGGTTCGGAACTTTGACGTAGGGACTTGCCGAGGAGTACCGAAAGAATGTGTAGTTGATATGAAAAGTACGTTAAGGTAACACGATACCGAATGGCATATCTCCCGATTTCTAAATTTTTTGGCACACTTGTACTTTGATTCGAGTTACATCGGAATATGAAATAAAAAATGGGGGTCACCATTCTTGTTTTTTTGTAATTTTGATAAGTAAATGTCAATTTTGGCGCCAAATTTACATAGATATATAGGGAAAATGCCTTTTTTTCGACTTACTTTTCTAGATTTTTCAATGGATGTCTATTTTCTCATATACGGAGAAAGACTAAAAACTAACATAATATCCAGGAATGTGTACCAAATCTATACATACATAAAAAAACATATGTCACCATCCTTGTTTTTCAGATAAATTGCTTCAAAGATGACCGATACGCTTAGAAATTGACAAAAATATGTGACGTTACGGAATACAGAATATAACGTTGTTTTACATTGACTCATTTCAGTTGTCTTTCATTTCCTGAAATTCACGGAACATAAAAGTATCAAGTAAATAACACGCAATTATGCATAAAAATATAATTTAATGGATATGGTCAATTAGATAAATACTGGCTAACACGATTTATAATTTTCTTCTGATTACTAATCCGTGGTTTCCCATTTGAAGTCCTCTCAGCAAAAATACTCCGAACGCCGTCTTGTCCAGCTCTACTAAAAGAAGACTTGATATGATCAAAACTAAGTCCACTTCCGGCTGCCCTATCGCACAGTGCTTTTGACATAATTTTTTCTCTAATAACCCCATTATAGGAGACCATTAAATGTTTCTTTGCGTGAAACATCTTCAATTGACGTTCTATTTCATTTACAACGAAACTATTCTCAATAAGTTGTTCTTTTGCATTGTCTACCTCTATCAACTCCTTTAACATTTTTACATCATCAAGGGCATTGTGAGCATTATATGTTGTCTTAAGAATGTCATTAGCAAGAGAGCTCTGTGAATATGATTTTCTTTTCGGATATTTAACACGGAATAATGGAAGTGTGTCTGAAAATCCTAATATACGGTCTTTGAGGTTTTGTAAAATTGTTGAATTTAAAGGCTGCATCTGGGATACAAGTATTTTTGCATCGAATTGTTTACAATTATGTGCAACCAGTAATGAGTTTTTCGGAAGCCAATCAATAAAACTATTAAAAACATTCTCCTTTGGTTCTGTCACAAGTTGCTGACCTTTATAATAAAGACGCGTCCCTGTACTGAAAAGATGGGTGACTTCGGTAGCTTTTGGATGAATCGGTTTTGTCGGAATAATGTACTTATCAAACTCTCCTTTGTTACAAACTGCTGACAATTGAACTATCTCGGAATCGTATCCTGTAATAAATGCATACATATGATCATAATTATGTTGATTGCTATAACGTATGATTGTTTCTTTTTCATAAATCGATAGTAATTGGGTCAGTTTGATGAATCAAAAATTAGTGTTTTGCAAATGAAATATATTACAAAAGAACACAGCGTCTTACATTAATTGATATGGGCTTATAACTGTATGAGTGGCTGCCTGTTGATTTTACCATAAAAAGGTTTTCGGGGCCTTTTATAGCTGACTATGTGGTATGGGCTTTGCTCATTGTTGAAGGCCGTACGGTGACCTATAGTTGTTAATTTTTGTGTCATTTGGTCTCATGTGGTGAATTGTCTCATTGGCAATCATACCACATCTTTTTTTTTTTTATTTAATCAAGCCAACATCTATTGGCCTAAAATATACATGACATTAACTAAAGGACAAGTCGATTTGGCCAACGCTTTCATACCCTAATGAAACTTCCATAGATGACAATTTATTCTGAAATGTTTCCAATTACTTAAGATGTTCAGGTCCGATGTCCTTTTCAGTTAAGTTATTTAAATAATAAACATCGTCGTGTTAATAGTCAACTTACCAAATCCGGTGGTTTCAATGTCGAAAACGACAACAGAAAGTTCCTCGCTACTATCAAGGTCGACTCTTGTTGGTAGTTCTAAATCAATTGGGTCTGGGATTGTTTCGATGTCTACATTATCCCCATCTGGTCCCATGGCAATCAGTGATTTGTAAGTTATACCTTCTTTGGTCTCTTTGGTTAAAGTGTTAATAAATGAATCGGACTTTTTACTTTTTCTCTTCCTTTTGATAGCCGGTAACTTTTTCTTTTCTGCATCTCTTTTAGCCTTCTCGTCTAGTTTTATTGTTTTTGATACCGTTACTTTTCCAGGTGAAATTCCATGATTTTCGTTTACCTGTATACAATAAAAAGTTAAATTTATAAGCTTATTTGAATAAAAATTTGATGATCATAAAATTACATAATATAACAATAAAACGCTATTTTGCACTTCTTTAATATTGTGTACTTACTTCGGAAGATATCCAATGTTTTAAATAAATCTTAGGCTATTAAATCGACAAAAATATATTTATTCTACCTTACAAGACAAAAACCTCTAGACAAGGAGAAAATTTATCTCCTTTTCTTTTTTCTTTGTATCTGAATGACTTGGAAGATTTTTTTCATAGAAATGATGTAATAGGTTTAAACACAGTGACAAATGAAATAGAAGAACAAATTAATATTTACTTCATACTTTATGTACTACTTTATGCAGATGATGCTGTTTTATTTTCTGAAACTGCAAAAGCAGCTAAATACATTTTATGAATACTGTGATATATGGAAACTGAAGGTTAATCCAACCAAAACAAAAATTGTTTTTTTTTTTTTGGTAATGGTAGATTCTCAAACAAAATTTTACACTTGATGGTAATGATTTAGAAATTGTCAAGGATATTTCATATTTAGGCATTATTTTATCATAGTATCTATATAACATTAGAATTTGTATTTTAAGTCTCCTCTTCGTGTCCTATTCAAGGGACAAAAAAAATCGCAAAACATAATGACACATAAATTAAAGTACTTACGTCAACTATATATTTTCGCCCACAATTCAGTTGTGCCACACCGGCAGCTACTCTGAAATTCAGGGACTCTGATCCGCCAAAATGTTTGGCTTTGGGTGCTTTTGTTGCAATTATATGATTCAGCGACTCATTCGCCTGAGAGGTACCAATGTGTATTAGCCTATCCGATCTGTCTGCAAATCGTTGGAATAGCTTCAGTAAGTCATCTCGGAGCTGTTCTCCTGACATGTCGAACCCACCTGGTAAACCGTTATGTTTGTATGTCTCTGGATTTTTCAGAAACCCGCACCACTCTGATTTACAACGATCGTGATCACCGTATGCATGAGGGACAATTGCAAGCAAGCTTTGATTCAATTCGTCAGAGTGACCTTGGTTTTGAGAAATGGCATACGAGGCACACCTTACAAAGTAACTGATTACGCTTGTGCTTAACTCCTTATGGCCTTTCTTTATTTCATAAAGAGAGTTTGAAAGGGTTTTCTTTATGTGATTCTTGTCAGACTGTTTGACTATATTTGGATCAACTGACTTATGAAGTCTTGATATAGTAGTTGAATCCTCATCCATGGTTATTGATTTCACTCTGTAACCCATTTCCATTAAATTAGAAACTAGATCTACTGCTATTGCTGATTCCATAGATCGTGCACTTCCTGCATAGTTCTTCCGACAGTCATGGTCTGATTGTTTATCTGTAAAAAGACACTTTCTGCAATCTGTTGATTTTACCCCAAAGTCTAAACATTTACCAGTTTTTTCTCCAATCATCGTAGCATGTCCTGAAAAAAAAATGAACATCAAAGTACCTTGCATTTATAATGAAGTAGTTTCACAACAGATTAAAAAATTCAATACATTATAGCACATTATAGAGATACAGATTACATACAACCAAACTAAATGTATAAGTAATTAAGGTTACAAATAATAAAATAAACTCTACCATTTATTCGACAACAAATGCGCATTTCGACAATCAATGTCTCTTCAGTGATGCTCGAGGTCAAAATATTTGGAAATCCAAAGCTTGTCACAACATTCATAAAATCAAAGTACTGAAGTACTGAACATCGGATGACCGCAAGTTCTTTTGGATGGTCACAAACACTTGTCTCAGAAAAAAAATCATTGACGGACAGATATGCAGACAAGGTGAACATTATAGGAAACTTTCATCTCGATGCGAGACCATAAATACGATGTTTTATATAACAGTTTTAAAAAGAAAATTACAGATGGAAAAAACAAGACTAAAATTAGGCATAATAAATAGTTTATTGTGCTAGGTTTTTACCACTGCATTTTATCTGAGAATTCAATAACTTACCTGTTTTACTATTATAACATTTTCCACTCCCCCTTTTCTGCCAAGCGCCATCAAACGAGACGGAAAGTAACTGTTCAATGTCCACATCATTGTCAGTAGAGTTTTCTATGGTACATGTACTTGTACATGGCTGTATATCTGAAGGAAGGTTTATCTCTTCTGTTGACGTTCTATAATTGAAATACATAAATAACGAGATTTTTATCACTGAACATACATGTTCAATTTTGTATAATATGATATAAAGAAAACGGAAATTCAATCGGGTACGGATCTTTACGATTTACATTTTGAGATGTAGCTACATGTAAATTTCTATACATTTTAAATCTGCTTATAAAATCCCCTTGTCTAGCATTGTTATTACACACATATATATATACATGATCAAAATTGAAAATGGAAATGGGGAATGTGTCAAAGAGACGACGACTCGACCAAAGCAGAAAACAGCCGAAGGCAACTAATGGGCCTTCAACACGGAGAGAAAATCCAGCACCCGGAGGCGGGATACAGCCGGCCCATTAACATACATTGTGTATTAGTTCAGTGAATGATTACCTGGTTATTTGTATTTCCTCATCGATTCCTTGTTTACAAGTGTCAGCAGCCTTTTTCTCTATCGTCGATCCTATTTCTCGCTCTCGTTTTTTTAGTGCTTTTACAGTTATTGAAGGGACATTCATGGTTGAGAAGAAATATCCAACTTGTTCGGGTCCTATACCAGTATGTATCATTGCTGGAAACAAATAATAAATATTATAGAATATATGGCAAAAACAATAGACCACATGTACTTACATTTACTGGCAATCACCACCCGGTAAGCTGAGTTCACGTCGTTTAGGTTAGCCGGTTTTCATTATCACTTGTTGCGGTTATAAAAAGTGTCAACAGACAGTTTCTTTTAAAAAAAATATTAATTTTGATTCTAAAAAAGGAAAGTTTTAATACAATTAAAACATCATTATAAAACGGAGAAGTAAATAATTTTTTTCTATTTTTACTTCACTGAGTTCATGCATGGACGAAATGAAGGAAATATATATGACAAAAAAGTATCTACATGTATGACTGTGAGTATCTTGGAAATTTTTTTTTGTTTGACTTACCTAGAGCACTTTTGGTATTAATATCCCATATTCCAAATCCTTTGTTTTCTTTATTTTCATCTCTGTGTTGTTTTCCCGTGTAAACACAATTGACGGTTTTACACTGCTGGCATTTTATCTTCAATACGCTACCGAATCCGTATCGTACTTCTGCAAGACAGTCTGACAGGTTGAGTGTTGACTTTTTACATTTTTTACAACAAGACAACTGTTCCGCTAAATACCCAAGCTCTACAATTCTTCTGCCCTCATTCCACAAAATAAAGTCTGAATCAGTTTGTGTTTCAAAAGTACTGGTTTTTACTGGTATGTCATCTTCTACTTTTCTTTTTTTCCAAGTGAACTTGCCCTTTTTAGAATGCATGCGCCGCTTTTCCGCCATGTTCAAATGCAGGACTGAAACGTCTAACGGGATTTGTAGTGTACGTCACAATATAAAAAGCACACACATTCCCGCAAATTTGCAGTATCGGATTTTATTATACACGGTATTGATATGAGATAAATATTGAGAACATTTTACACGATCATGTAATACAAATAGATATAGAAAGATGTTGTATGAGTGCCGATGAGACAACTCTCCATCCAAGTCACAATTTATAAAAGTAAACCATTATAGGCCAATGTATGGTCTTCAACACGGAGCCTAGGCTCACACCGAACAGCAAGCTATAAAGGGTCCAAAAAAATACTAGTGTAAAACCATTCAAACGGGAAAACCAACGGTCTAATCTATATAAAAAAAGACTATTTATAAGTATTTTCTATGTTTTTGTTTAAACTTTCACATATGTGTGATTTTTGCTATTGTTCTCGTTTTTGTTATTTTCATTTCGATCGCATACATGTAGATTATTAGAATTGTGAATATGATACACTGATTGTACGTATAGTAAGCAACGCTAAAATGAAGATATTTTTAATATGCAGATATCTAAATTTGTAAATTTGAAATAAAGAAACATTTATCTTTCAACTGTTTTATACCAGACTAAGGCAAATTGTTTGTTTAACTCGTTCTAAGTTATAACAAAACATCAGGTTTTACGTTTGTCGTCAATTTCATGTTTGTCCGACAACAGCAGGAACGATAACTCGTGACGTAACGTCATTCGGTATCGTGTTACCTTAAGGGGCAACGTTGAACCTCTATGGTGGCTAGACGGGCACGGTTCCCTAAAAAATATTTAAGCAGGGAATAGCCTGGGTCAATACCTTTGAAATGAGCTAGTAGGTCTGGTTCGGAACTTTGCCGTAGGGGTATGCCGATGAGTACCGAATGTGTTGTTGGTATCGAAAATACGTTAAGGGGCAACTTTAAACCACTGTGGTGGCTAGACGGGCCCGGATCCCAGAAAAATTTGCCGTAGGGACTTGCCGAGGAATACCGAAAGAATATGTAGTTGAAATGAAAAGTACGTTAAGGGGCAACTTTGAACCCCTGTGGTGGCTAGACGGACTATTCGCCACTTGAATATTTTTCTGGGATCCGGGCCCGTCTGGCCACCACAGTTTTAGTTATATGTCAATCATTTGTACTGGCACATTGGACAAGGAAAATTTCTGTTTTTAAATTAATGAATTGGTAATGTTGCATGCCGTAGACAATTGTCCACGTAGGATTTTTATAGAAAATACTTGTTCACATTAAAAAAGTGATTAAAAATGTGTATCGAAATGTTTTCATTTCATATATACAAAAATAGATATTGAAAATGGTTTCAACTGAAACAATATATATTAGAGGATGCCGAGTGTATGGAAAGCATGTATGTAATTTTTCTATAGTACATTTCATCTTTTTTATTCAGTTTAAATTGGTTGGAATTATATATATAACATATATAACACGATTTCTTACTTAAATCCATTATTAACAATGGTAGTTGTACTTTGATTTTTTTTTATTTTCTATTCCTACATTGTTTCTGTACCTCCTTATCATAAGGAATCAAAAAACGAGAAAAAGAACGAAAAAAAACGATTTTAAATTGTACATTTTTTTATTAAACGAACAGGGTCCAAAAAAAAAGTGGCTGCTATTATCATTGGTAGTTAAAACGGACTGCCATCTTTTGAGAATCACGAGAAGCTGTTAAAATGTCGAATTCCGCCGTCAAATTATATTTAACTAAGATTTTGAGATTTTTGGAACGTTTGAGTCTTTTTTTTTGCTTTTTAGACATATCATGAAAATTGGCTGCTGGAAAAACGTGGCTACTAGCTTCATTGGCTGCTAAAAGTGGCTGCCAGCTTGAGTCTGGTGTCAAAAACACAGATGAGGTGCATGGTTGGTAATTTAACCCCCATGGAAATGAGACTTGCAAATGCTAATACAACTGCATACCAAATATCGTTGACCTACCACTTGTGGTTCCCCATAAACTGACCTTATCACAAACTTATACATTGTTGCTGCTGTCGAAAACAGCAATATCTAAGTCTTGCTTTTTCAACATAGAAGCGAGACAAAAATTCAGTCCAATATCAGCTGTGAATTTAACCTTTGACCCGTAGATCAATAGGAATCTCCCTCACCCCTTAAGACATTATTAACCACATTTGATAAAAGTTGGACACTGATGTTGTTTAAATGATAAAACCTAGCATCATCAAACACAGTTATTCTATGCATAAAAAAACAGTTCTTGTATAACATCATTACATTACAGACAAATAATTCTACAAATACTCTCAGAAATTCCTCAGCTAGTTCATCGCAAAAGAGAGGCGAGAAGATATCAAAGTAGACGCCATGTCAAAAAAAGAAGAAGAAAAAAACAAAAGACAAACATCAGTATACAAAACACAACATAAAAAAACTAAAGACTGAGCAACACTTAGCAACCAAAAGCCGGTGGTGATCTCAGGTCCCCTGGAAGGGCAAACAATAGAGATATATACTCAGTGGAAATCTACTGAAAAAAGAACAAAAGAAAATGTACCTCTTCTTATGATAGAGTCGAGAAAATCAACAATAAAACAATGCCGGTGACAACACTGATCAGAAGTTATTTCTAAATAACAATTGTACATTTTAAAGAAATTATTTGTTAAACTGTGTTATCAGAAATATATATGCAAATACACGATGTTTTATGTTCAGTATTTATCGAGATAATTGCTTTAGAAGCTTGTGAAAATGAAATCTAAAACATGCCAATATTTGCTGCCTAATGATAAAACAAGATGGAAAAAAATCGTGTACACACAAAATCTAAATATCATTCGGGTCACCAAATCTTGGAGTGTTCCACCAAGTCCTAAGCATGTTACAATTTCCCAAAATGTAGTTATTTTTAACATTCTAAATTTTCGAGTACACCGGTCTGCGCTTGTCACATGAAAATTCAATATAGAAATATTGTCTTTTCATGAATATAACAATATAAAAGTTTGTCATTGCAGGTTAAAAAATTACAGGTAAATATTCTTATAAAGTAGGCATCATTTTACTATTTTTTATACAATTTTAAGAAAAGGTCGTCTCGATGTTTGTACATGTAATTGCGTTCTTCTCGATCTTTTCACATTCAATGGCAGGTTCTTTTGAATTTGCTAAGTAACTTAATTTCAAAAGTGCAGCATATCAATATATGGATTTTTTCCCTGACTTTCTCTGATCTAGCTGCATAAATAAAGATAAATAGCATGTTTCAGAGAGGTACAAGCCAGTAGAAAAAATTAATTGAAGTTGGTATTCTAGGAATTTATTCGCATAGCAACATTTTAAACCAGTTTTACTATGGCATGGTATTGGTTGCAAAAATTTGATATTTTTCATTTAAATGCAATATTTCTTATTTAATTGGTATATTTCTTCATTTAAATGCAATATTTTTTTATTTGAATGGTATATTTTTCTTTTAAATGCAATATTTTTTATTCAAATGGTATAATTTTTCATTCAAATGGTATAATTTTTCATTCAAATGGTATAATTTTCATTCAAATGCAATAGTTTTTATTCAATTGGTATAAAATGTCATTTGAATGCAATATTTTTTATTCAATTGGTATAGTAGTTTTTTATTTATATGCAATAATTGCATTATGGGAAACTCTTTGACGTTGTAAGGTCAAATTTGCAACAACGTTTGTGATTGGTCGGAAATTGTTTGGATTTCTCCCCTTTCTTTCTAAACATGGGTGACCAAGAATTAAAAAACGCGTCAGAATATCGCCCCTATAACTAAATCTAACGTTAGTGCAAGTCTTGCACTGGCTGTTAAAACCTTGTGGTCATAACTAGTATTTCTATTGCAAAATTTCGATGGTCAAAACGTTCGGTCCACTTTTCAAAAACCGTTTCATTTGTATAAGGATTTATATGCAAGTATATCGGTTTTTTTAAATAGATTAGACACCGTTGGTTTTCCCGTTTGAATGCATGGTTTTACACTACTAATTTTTTGGGGGCCCTTTATAGCTTGCTGTTCGGTTTGAGCAAAGGCTCCGTGTTGAAGACCGTACGTTGACCTTTAATGGTTTACATTTGCAAATTATGACTTGGATGGAGAGTTGTCTCATCGGCACTCATACCACATCTTCTTCTATCTATATACAACCGTAAACCAGACGTTTCTCAGACTGTTTTCTTTTTTTAATAAATTCTTTGCCGCGTATTGTGTACTGATTGATAACTCAGTCTGGGAGAACAAGATTTATTTCAGTGCCAGTTGTAATTAGGTTTGAGCAAACTTCCAGTAATTGCAAATACTCTTATGTCGGTGCTTTGTGTCTACTGTCTTAATGTTACTTTTTTGTGTGTCTAGTACCGATCTTTTGAGTTAATTTGCTGATTTGTGCAGGTTGTTATTTTATTGTACTGTTACACCATTGTCCCAGCTTCGGGATGGGTTGCTCACAAACATGTTGTTGTACTGTTACACCGCTGTCCCAGATTAGGGGGAGGATTGGGATCCCGCTAACATGTTTAACCCCGCCACATTCTGTATGTATGTGCTTGTCCCAAGTCAGGAGCCTGTAATTCAGTGGTTGCCGTTTGTTGCTTTGTTATACATATTTGTGTTTCGTTCATTTTTTTGAACATTAATTCGGCCGTTAGTTTTCTCGTTTGAATTGTTTTACATTTTTGATTTCGAGGCCTTTTATAGCTGACTATGCGGTGTAGGCTTTGCTTATTGTCGAAGGCCGTACGGTGACTTATAGCTGTTGATTTCTGTGTCATTTGATCTCTTGTGCAGAGTTGTCTCATTTGCAATCATACCACATCTTCGTTTTTATATCCACCCTGCCATATTCTTTATTTGCCTGTCCCAGGGATGGAGCCTGTAGTTTAGTGGTTGTCGTTGGTTCCTGTCTCGACTCATATTTGATATTTTGTAAATTGTTTTGTTATGTATAATTAGGCTGTTAGTTTTTTCGTTTGAATTGTTCACACTTTTCATGTCGGGCCTTTTATAGACGACTTTACAGTATCAGGTTTTTGTCATTGTTGAAGGCCTTACGATTGTCTACAAAAAGCATTTGTCTACATGACCGCAAAAAGCTCTACAGAGCTTATGTTTGTAGTATTTAATGTAACCCGACTTAAAATAAATTTTTCTTATCTTATCTTATCATATCTATAATTGCTTACATCCACTTCATATTTGAACTCCGGTGGATAGTTGCCTTATTAGCAATCATATTCCATCTCTTCATTTTTATATTATATACGTGACTTCTAAACTCGTGTTTTCCTGAACAAGCATGAAATAATT